CAAATATTCAACAAAAATGAAAAGACGAATTTTCATGCCATAACAATAACTCGCTTATTTATAAAGATTTCTGTATTCTGAAAAGACTGAATCGATTCTAGAGATCACGTAGATGAAGAAAATGATCAAAAACATAACGATATGTTGAGTGCAAGCCCCATGAAAAAATCTAGACCTGGTCTACAGCTATGTTTTGCCATGTTTATATGGTCTAGACCAGGTCTAAGCCGAATTTCAGCCCAAGTCTAGACCATAGACCAACGTATGCATTGTATTCGATGGTCTATGGTCTAGACTCCGGCTGAAATTCGACTTAGACCTGGTCTAGAATGTCAAACATTCATTTTGTGCACACAAGACAAAAAACTATCAGTAAAAATTCAATTGCACAATTTCATTGCGATCAGAATAAATATTGCAATGTTGTACATTTTGTTTATTATTTTGCTCTCATTTTTTCTCTTACTCAATCGTTATCCCCCTCTCTTTCTATCTACAACTGTATTCGATTTTGTGAGGGTGTACGATTCTCTTTCTCTTCCAATTTCTCTCACACACTTATCCAAAGACACATCATCCAAATGTGCTGCTTGTACTGTGGCATATAAAAATATAGAACATTTTTTTTCTTGCAGTCGTCGTCTGGTTGTTTTGAAATGCCCGAAAAAACCAACACTCAAATGACTCTCCGCTGAACAATAAAATGTCCACATCCATAGTATGTGATGTAATTTGATCTACCAAAAATAAATCGACTCTCGTATATTGACTGAGCAATTAAAAATAAACAAATGTTCTTCTGTTTAACACTATGACTGTTCTTCATATTTGCAACATATTACTGTTCTTGGGGGACTCCAGGGCCCCCAAGATACTTCATATGAAATCTGGACTTTGATAAGAGATAACAAATCAGTGTCTGAAGCAAAGTTGTAATACTCAAAGTTTGCTATAATTTTGGTTCAACAAATATTGCTTATCTCTTATCAGTTCCGCGAAAAACTCGAAAATCGCAAAATTTTCCCACATCGTTTTAGTGAAGCTGATAAGAAGTAAGAGACTTGCCTCTTCCACAGAAATGTAGAGCAGCTTGAGTACTACAACTTCACCAAGACATCAAGTCGTTATCTCTTATCAGTTTCGCGAAAAATTATTATCAAAAACTCGCGTTTTCCGCGTTTTTTCGCGTAACTGATAAGAGAAAACGACTTGATGTCTGTGGTGAAGTTGTAGTACTCAAGCTACTCTACAACTTTGCCGAAAATACCAAGTCGTTATCTTTTATCAGTTTCGCGGAATACGCGACAAACCGCAGAAAACTGCGAAAAAACGCGTTTTTTTCCTTATCATTTTTCACGGAACTGATAAGAGATAACGAGATGGTGTCTTCGGCAAAGTTGTAGAGCAGCTTGAGTACTGCAACTTCGTCACAGACATCAAGTCGATATCTCTTATCATAGTCCAGTTATAATATAAAATAGCCATGGGGCCCTGTGGTCCCCCAAGAACAACCGCGTAACATGTTTTGCGGCAGGCTGTATTTTACACATACTCACACATATGCATATGTTTTTTTTTCATTCGTGTAGAGAAATGTTCAATCTATACAATGAGACTTAACACCGGTTGGTTTATACTTTGTTTAGTAAATTTATTCAACTTTAAAGTTCGCTGGGGGCCCTGGGTGCCCCAAGAACAATCATAGTGTTAATCTTTTAGCGCAAGACCGAGTCGAGTGCAAAAGAAACAATAAATAATGTATCACCGTACTCTCACTCACACACTATTCAAAGTACTCGAACTTACCGAATGCCACAATAAAGAAAGGAATTCACTTTTAATTTTCAAGTCAGCAAATTCAAAAGAAAGAAAAAAACATACTTCTGTCGCCAATTTTATTGATTCAAAAAATAAGTTCGAAAAAAAACTTATATTTATTGACTTTGGTTGGTGAGAAAGAATGAACGAAACAAAGATATATTTTTCGGATGGAATGATTGTATGTTTGTCATGAAGTAATTTGTATCACTCCTTTTTCTTGAGCAATTCCTTCCAACGAGCATTGAAAATGTCCTTATCGAGCTCAGGAGCATCCCAATCAGTGCTGTCGCCATCATTTGAACCATCTTCATTGCTTGTATCGCTGTCTTCTGCGTCACCATCATTTGAAACCCCTTCATCGGTTGGTGAGTCAACTGTATCACTGTTGTTACGGTAGGTTCTGTATGGCTCGTCCACTTCGACATGCGATTCTTCGTTTGGCATTACGTCCTCACTTGGATCGAGTTCATCATCATGATCGACTTCGGCTATGCCGTCGATTGCCAATTGTGATGTATCATTCGGCTCAGCTTGCAAAAGACGTGAGGCAAACATTTCTAAAAAAAGAACAAAACAAAAATAAATTAGTGTCACATTTCAAAGTATTGAATATCAATTTTAAAAAAACACTACCGTCAAATCGATGCCGAATGTCCAATGAATCCATGCCAAACAATTCACGAACAAGTGGGAAAATGATGGGCAACAATTGTGACCATTTTTCGGGAGAAAACAAGTACGTAATGCGTTGCTCGCCACTTGCAACTACCTGAGCCTCTTCATCACTTTTTTCATTGTCTTCAGAGCTGGGTGTTTTGTCAAAGAATTGTTCAAGCAAAATATCGTTCGAATCATCATGCAAACTTAACCCTTTATCACATTTCGGTTCCTAAAGTAACCAGATACGCCAGACGCTATAGCTATGAAACCACTGAATATTTTTACATTCTTGTTTGGAAACAAATGTAGGGAATTGAACTAGCTTTCATTTGATACTTTACAGGCTACAATTGGCTGGCTGAATGGAAAGTTTTTTCTGTTCATGTACTGCTGTAAAAAAAATGCGAAATTATAGCAGAATTTCACATTTTTCCTCCTCTTATCTTGTGGGTTTGTTCATTCTTTTCAATTGTCAAATTAGGAGTCGTAGGACCAAAACACATCAATTTAACTTTCTGCATCATTAGTTTTATGAAATTTAATTTTTTCAAGCTTTTATAGTGATTTGACACTTTTGACTCTTTTCCGATCTTCTCGACAAATACGCAATTTTTCAAAAATCTAAGTATGAGGTTTTTCTCTATTTATCGTGGCACAAAACATATATCAAAATGATTCAAAAACAAAAAATTGTGCATCAAAGGGTTAAGTCTTCGTGTTCTTCCGGAAACATGAACTGATGCAGAAAATCCAATGTTTCATCGGATAGCAATTCGAAAACAATTTCGTCACTTGCAATTACCAGGTCAGGTTCATTTTCAAAACTGTAAATCAAACACATTATTGGAATATGCTCTTACAATGCTTTCAGAAAAAATATTACCCGGCATCGTTTTGATTTTTCCTTGAATCGCCTTCACTTTACCGTCACGTTTGAGTTTGGCTTGTTCACGTGCAATACGTAATCCGATAGCAATACATTGCTTCTTATGGAGGCTGAATGGATGGATTTTTGTAAGAGCGCCTAGTGAAAATATCTTAGAATGATGGAATATTTCGAACTTTAATACGCTTTTCTCCTAATTTATCCAAACTTACCTCTTAAGTGGTAAATTAAAACCAATAAATATTTACACATCGAAATATCTGGAAAACGGCTGGGAAAATCGGCAAAGGGACCGTGGTGTCACACCCTAAAGGGAGTGTAGACACTCGGCTGGTTTGATGGCCCAAAGCTCAAATCCAGTGGATTCGGGCTGATCCATGGGCTCTCAGGATTTGGTCTGATTCCCAGCTTTTCCTTTCCTGTGAGCATCTTTACAAGTCACACTCATGTTTTGTATGGAATTTCACCACAGGGCAAGTGCTGGGATCAGGCCAAATCCCGAGAACCCATGGATGAGCTCAAATCCACCGGATTTGAACTTTGGGCCATCAAACCAGCCGGGTGTCTACACTCCCCCTAGGGAGTGACACCACGGTCCATTTTGCCGATTTTCCCAGCCGTTTTCGAGATATTTTCATGTGTAGTTTAATGAGAAAGATATCCGCCATGACAGCATTTTGGCCCGCCATGTTGGTATTTTGGTTTATATTAACAGAACATTCTCTACTTTGACAGTCAACGTTTCTAAACGTAAACACAAATATTATCTGTCATAATCACATTCACCACTTCTAATGTGCTTCAGAGAGCTTCTGACAGCGCCATCCATCCGAAGCGTTTGAAACATTAAAGACTCTTGCTGATTTTTTCTGCCGCATTTTCATTCGAGCTATCGCCTTATGGTGCAATAGCCTCCTTGGATAAACGAAACACAACGACCGTACACTTTGGCATTTTGGCAGCAATTTCTTCATACCGTGGTGACTTCGCCACTACACGACCATCAAGCTTCGGTTTTGGCTTTGACTGCGGTTTGGGTTTGGATTTCGTTTTTAATTCCGATTCAGTTGACCGTCTACGATCATACCAGACCTCTTTGCCATTCTGAAGCATCAGCACACTGTTTCGCAATTCTTTAAGAACTTCGGACTTTTTCTTGGCTATGAAAACATATCATAAAAAATCACTTTGACTTTGAAACTACTACTATATATGATTACGAGTTTGCTTGACACTGATTAAATCGCAAAAGCATAGAATTGATCCCGAAATTAAAAACAATATATAGTTTCAATAAGAAAAATGGTCTGCTCTGTGTGCATCGAATGTTCATGAAGCCCGTTAGTTTCCATGTGAAACATGAAACCACGTTGTTAGAGTGAATTTCACAATGCCATATTCATACAATTCTTGCTTAAGCGATTTTTTTTTTTCAATATTTCATAACATATGGTCTGAAAATGCCTTTACTTACACATTTTGTCAATGTCTGATGAATTTTTATTTTAAAATTGTTAGTTTTGCTTGGCTTTGCTTAAAATGTCGATTTTTATACCGTCTTGAACGAAATATGGAGAATATATCGTTGTGATGTTGCCTCGTTGAAATCTCAAACAGAAAAGGAAGATGCAAGTCACAACAGACAGTATGTCCCCTCAACAAGCATAACATGTGTCGCAATACACTAACACTGATGTTCGATGTGTTTGATGGTTTCCGTGTAATGTGTACTCACTCATACAAACATACAATCGAACAGTGATCGATGAAAATCGTACTAGCGTTTGTGTTGTTGGTTTGTTGGTTTTATTATTTCGAATAAAAGTTTGAGAAATCACAGGCGATTTCAATATGCGGGGATAATCCCCAAATCGATTCCATAGACAATAGTTGCCAACATAAATTGTTCAGATTCTGGATTTCCTTGTTTGACAACATTTGACATTTTTAAAGTGCGTTTTCGACCATTGATACAATTGTATGTTTTTGAATCGTAAAAATGCTTCAAATTGCAAGAACTTCAAATAAATCGAAATCGATCGGAAATAATTCGACTATAACACAGTTTTTTGGTGTAGTAGATAGCGACAAAATCACAGCAAATGCACGAGAAGAAAACGATGATCATTTTGCAGTCGAGAGCCAAGAAGACACAGAATGTTTGAAAGAAGAAACCGAAAAAGATGATTTCTACCAAAATTGTTTGTTGGAAAAAACTGAAGTTTGCTCGCAAGAAAAAAACTGTCATGTAGTTTTAGATGAATTACGAACCAAGCGCGATGCAATTATTTCAAAACTTGAGAGCATACGTAAAGCGCATTTTGTTTGCTTGGAAATGTGTAAAAAGAAGGATATTGAAATCAAACATCTTAAAAATGCCACCAATGGACGTAGTAAGTTGGTGTCAGCATCAAAAAAAGCAATTTTAACAAAGTCAACACCACCCAAGTCGATTCTACAAAAAACAACTGAAACAAAAGCAAAGCAAATACTGTTTGAACAGTTCAAAGACGATTTTTCCGAGGATCATTTGGCGGTTTTGCGTTCAACTAACAAAAATTCGCGTAGCGATTCCACATTTATTTTGAATAGCGTTCGATTCACGTATGTGGATGAATTGGAAAAAATTCAGAACAAAAGTCTCAAAGGTAGCGGTAATAAAGAGGCCATTTCACCCGTAAAGTTGAGTCGGCTTAATTCATTGTTCAATGAACGTCTCGGAGATATGGCGTTGGACGAAACAGAGAGGAACATTCGTGGGGAAAAATTCGATCGGCACATACATAAAGCAATTATGAATATCACAGCTGTACTGAAGAAAAAATCACAACAAACTAAAATTATTTCTGTTTCCGATGAATAAAATAAATCATTAAACTCAATATTATTCTGACTTCGATTTATTGTTAATACATTCAATTGCATTTTTGATTCATTTCCCAAATGATTCAGTACGGTCAGCTTTTTCCTGTTTGTTCTTCACATGTTCTATCCGTTTGCCAAATAGCTGCATCAGTAAATCTTTCTTGTTTGGTGAAATTGCCTCTTTTCTTCGACCGCTATAAGTTTTTTCCTTCAACTTCAGCAAATCGTCGCAATACAGGTGTTCCAAGGAGAGCTGTCAAACGCCATAACATACAGAAGTAAACAATGTGATGTCTCCGTATATTTTTTATTTAATTTATAGTTACAATTAGTTGTTTAGTCGAAAAGTTTAGTTTTTATGAAAGTTTAAATATATACTTGTGCAAAAATAATAAAGATTCTAGCCTGGAACTCTCAAATCATTATATTTATTACATTTAATATACTGTGTTACTGTGATACGGCAAACATAACCTCACAACCACTCGCCGATGTTTTCAAATCTACTAAACAACTCATTTTTAAACAGTTCGTTTTTAAATAAAACAATGTCAACCAACCACAACTGCCTTCAAAACCAATGTAAAGGTGACAAATGTCATGGACTAAATCTCACATGCACCAGATGCCTGATTCCATGCTTTTTCGAGTGCATCACACAACTCCCAGAGATAAAGCAATTGTTATCATGGCTTGGTGTAAACTCAGCTAATCCACCGAATATGAAGGAGATATCAGCTAAAATCAGTGTTGTGTTCAACATCAACTCATCATTTGAATTTGTTTGTCCGAGATGTAAGGAAACCGGCTCATACAATGATCTAAAAATTCGTTTAGAAAGTGATGCCAATAAGTTAACAACAAAGAACAAAGATCAAAAGGCGCAAATAACACAATTAAAAAAGGACGAGTTGGCTGTAGAAGCCGCTTTGAACGAAAAGTTAGCAGAAATGACCAATTTGAAAGCTCAATTCAACAATCGTCATACAACAAACGATGTAGATTTCACCACGATTCAAACACAAATTGGTTCATTGAACTCAATCGCCTCACAATGGTCAATTCAGTTACAAACTCAAAATGAATATTATTCAAGTTTACTATCAACAATTGAACATTTGAACGCGTTTGTCGATGACTGTGAAGCATCGACATCTCAGGGACCAGCTAAAACAACACAAAGAGAAAAAAATCAGACACCAATAATAACAACAACAACAGCACCAATCTCAACCCAAACTGAACAGTACAACCATGTCAACATCATCGACAGTGATATGAATGATGATGATTTACTTTTCCCACCAGAATCACATGAACAAGTTGCACAACATTCAACAACTACAAAATCGGGAATTTTTGAATTGTATGTGTCTAAATTTCACCCAACAAAAGTTAATGCCGATTCGATTGCGCGTCACATAATAAAATCGACAAATTTAAGCAATCACACATTCTCTGTTGCACCCTTGGTGAGCCCAAAAGATGATATTCAAAAGAAATCGCTTATTTCGTACAAAATAACCACATTGAATGAAGATGTTTACAAACGGATTGCCGATGAGAATCTATGGGCGCCAAATTACACAGCTGAACCACTTAAAACAAAAACAAACAAACACTCAAAACCAGTTCAGGGTTCAAACAATCTGAATAGTAACAGCAACGACAACACAATCGGTCAGACAAAAACAACAAATCGCTCTAATATGAAGTTCAACCGAACCAACAATTCTCAGCGAATGAATAACTACAAACCAAGTGAAAATAGAAACCGAAATGTTGGCTTTGAAAGGAATCTCTATCGATTTGCAAATCAAAATAATGCAAATCGACCCTCGATGAACAATTCTTTCTTGCATTACACACCTCAACAAATCAACAATCCATATCAAAACAAAATTTTTTTCTGGAACCAACGCCAATTTTATGTGGCGAAAAAAATGGCTGTGAGCAAATTTGGATTAAAATAAGTCACGAAAACTGAAATTTATTCATTGGATCACTCTATATACCACCACAGTCACCAGCAACCTTATACGCGGCTCATATGGACCTTATCAAACAAATTCACAAAAGAAATGATATCGATACTTCATCTATATTTTTATTTGGTGATTTCAATCTTCCAAATTTGAAATGGGAAC